TAGAATGAATGGTAAGGTCGCGTATCACGTCAAGTGTAGTTAGAGGCACTCACATTTCTGCCAAACTGATCTCTCCTATCAGATGAAATTTCGAATTTTTATACCCAAAACTTAGCACCTTTTCCTAGTTTTCCTATATGCACTTTTTGGTCCACATTTTGTTTTTATAAATGGTACAAGAGAGTAAATTACTTAAGAGGAAACGTTGAGATTTCCCTTTCAAAATGAACTTTTCCCACTTATTATATAATATTTTTACTATTTGCAACTGTCCCAGAACCTGGCGGCGATCCCCAGCTTAATATGCAACTAAATCAAAAGGCATTATTTAGCTTCAGTTAGCAGCGAACTGGGCTTGTACTTGACCTAAAAAAATACCATCTATTTCAATAGCTTTAAAGTGCAGTTCGTGCATTTGTGGAATATTTTATAAGTTTGCATGTATTCTGTGCGCACCAAGGCCTTAATGGCCATCGTAAAAGGTTCCGGTTTATCATCAATCCATCTCCTCTAAAAAGTACTCAATGCCTCAGTCATATTATGACTTTAGTAAGCATATCCTATAAAGGGTTGTCCACAAATGCAGCAAAATTCAGATTGACCTCTGCAAAAAGTTGCATCTGATGTAATAGAAATGCAACTAATAAAGTTAGGATTTCTACAGAGCTACCGAAAACCTGAAGAAAGAAGGTGCATCATCTGAATTATACTCTCGATGGACGAAATTTCAAGGTGTGGAGAGACAGAAACCGAGGTCTATCTTGGAGGATAATCGCGTGATGGCCATAAGAGAATTCCACAGAAAAAACGTATTCTCGTTGAGTAAGTGTTGGAAGCGCAACAATAAGATCCTAATGGACCAATCGATAAACTATGCTTCCTCACTCATTAAAAAGTTATTACTTTTTTCTTCACTTTTTTAATGCTGATTCTGTACTTGCCTACCTGTTGATCTATAAAGTTTCTGCCCTCTTCCTGTCACAACTCTCCATCTCCCTGCTCGATTACATACCTGCTCGATATGTGCTTCCACCTCCTCAAGGCTGAGGTTGCGCAATTTCGTCGGACTCAACGTGTCCCCGAGCTCTGTTAGTAGGCTGGCCGGATCAAGACGACCTGAAGGCGGAATTCTTGCCCACTTGGAGTACTCGCTCAAAGGCCGCGGGCGCCAATAAACTGGACCGGAGATTAGATGTGGCGAAAGCCCTCCACCATGGTTACCATCTCTATCGGCCGGCAGTAAGTCCGACTGCAAAGTTTCAGGTCTGGCGAAAAAGCCGAGTGAAAAGTCGTCACGCTCCAAAGAACCATCTTAAGAAAGAAAGCATGAAGTTATATTTATGCATATTAAGGCATACCTACATGCATCAGCTAATGTAAAAAAAAAAATTTGCTTGGCTTGACTGCTATCTAGATTGAAAGCACAGTAGGATGAGGCTCGTAGGTAAATCTCACTAGAACATTATGAGGACTCTCTCTTTTTAGGCCGTTTTTTCATTCCAGGGGGAACTCGGAGTGGCGCAGACTACGAGATAGTCTACTTCATTCAATAAAAAAAGTACTACGTTTTCTTGTACTCTGCCAGTTGACAAAATATTCAGATCCAGATTGCACTCTTATAGCAATCTAAAGCATAAGGTCGAACCAACACTATAAATCTAAAGGAGACTGCGACCAAACAGAAGGCTGCACCATCTTGGTCTTCATATCTACAATCATAATTGACTCTATATAAATTTTTAGTTCCAAGATTATTCGGGTATTGGTGCAATTTTACTTCTAAAGCCTGTGTAGCGGGGCTAATGAGGTGGGACATCAAGACAATGTATAAGAGTAAAAACATTTTCCTCAGTAATGCCATCATTTCGGAAAATTTCGAACCCACTTGCGGAGCTACACAGGCTCTGAGAAGTACAAATTAGGTAAGGAGTCAATAATAATGTCGACGAATAAGGTGATGCGCTGTATATATTTTACAAGAAGTACCGCCTTAGCAGGAGGAGGCTGGATTAATGTTATAGAGGAAGATTCATTTGCTTGGTCAGAATTTAATCCGTTTCACGCTTCAGCCGCAGTCTCTTCCATTTTCAAAAGCATGTAAGAAAAGCATACGATATACAACCAAATAATGAGATGTCCCACCAAGTGGATATAGCTAAGCCATAAAACGTAGATAGGATTGCAGTCGGTCTCCTTTTCTGTCAATGTGCTTAGTGCATTATCGTAAAACATGGTGTCCTGCTCTGATGATATATGTCACATGACGGACGAAGGCTCAGCAAGGATTCCTTGTGGTTGTGGGACGGCGAGCTGAAGACTTATTCGCACAAATCTACAGTCACAGCTCCAAGATAAGCCCCATTTGACTTCCGGTGAGACAACTTGAGAATCCCTACCACTCGCCTCTTCAAACGAAATTAATGATACTCCAACATCAATATATTAAGGGATTCTTCGAAAAACAGTATTTCGACATATTACAAGCAAAC